AATTTGTGATTTTGATTTGTCAATGTTGTCTTGATTTAATGGAAAGTTTTCAATGTTTTCAAAAGCAGTGCTTTTATCCAACTGTGCAAGGAGACTGTGCACAAAGGAGTCATTTCTTTGATTTGTAATCAACAAAAGGGGTAGAAGGAATTGGTCCCCATTAACATAATTAAAAACAGAGGATTTTTTTTTCATTGTTTCTAGTTAATACTAGTGGAAGCTTTGCACCTCTTCGGGTAATTATTTTTGCATCGCCTTTGTCACCATTTAAACCAGTTTCATCACAATTCCATAAATACATGGCTTTACTAAAATTAATTTTTCCAAGCCAAATTTTTTTTTCAAAACATCAAAATAACGGGCAAAAATTTTGGTGTGCATCTCAAAGATGTGATGTTTGTAGGTGTTCTTTTGCTTAGTTCTAAGTGCCATCAACTCATAAATCCTTTGTACCACTTACGACCAGGCATTCCAGTTTTGAACAAAAATTTTTAATTAAATTGTCTCTCACTAAACTTTGAACTTGATCTAATCATCAAAAAAAGAACCAAGGTTAACCAGCTACTGAAGTCTTGTTTGATTTTTAGTGGGATAACGTTGATTTTGGTATGCTGTAGAATTCAGCTGTGCCTCTTAGGTTCAATTTACCATTATCAATCTTATCCTATATGCTTTTTATTGTCTCCTCAGTGTAAGGCTGTAAGGCAGTGTAGTGTCTGTTTGTTTTTTTGACATTTTAAGTTCACTAAATTTAATTCAGTTACAGATTTATAGAGATTTTAGAAATTAAAAAGTAAACAACCTGTATACTTTGTGTACTTTTGCACTTGAACTTCAACAATTGCAAAAGTACAAAATTAATTATTTTAATAATTAACACGAAAGTGTGAAAACTTAAAAAACCCTTATAAAAAAAATTCAATCATTGTGGAAAAATTAAATTATTTTAACAGAATAAAAAACTTCAAAGTGAGAAATAATAAACAGATTAACCTATTAAATTTTAATTGATTATAGGGATTTATAGCATCTAGTTTATAAACCAATCAACCATATATATTCTGAAAAATAATTTTGTGGATATTTACAAATAGTAATTCTACCTTGAGTAAACACCAAAATTATAGATCTTTATATATATAATTAGTAATAATTATAAGAATAGTAATTATAATAATAAAAATAATATTTATAGTAATAAACATAAGAACTACAATAATAATACAAAAAACAACAACAGTAACAATTATAATAGTAATTATAATAACAATAATAATCAAAATAATGTCACTTGTTTTTAAAAACACAATAGATAAATATACATAAAAGATAGTTACAAACAGTTGACTGATAAAATGTAACTACTAACAATGACAAAAACAGTTATTTTAAATTGAAAATAATAAAATAGGAATAATAATAGTAAAGTCAAAAATAATAATAATTGTAGTTACAATAAATATTTAAAATTAAAAGAAATGATACTATAACAAAAAACATAACAAAAATATGATAAAAATTAAAGATATAGTAAAGAAAAACACAAAACACTTAAAAAATGAGAATGTTTAATATTGTTACATGCATAAAAAAACATAAATATAAAGATATATTTACATACTTACCCACATGCATATATACACACATATTTGCACATAAATATACACACACGCGTACATACACTCACATACATATGTATACATACACATATAGATACATATACATGATACATATACATACAAAAATATATACATTTTTAAAAATGTCCAACCTACATAAAACTAAAAAAATACATATCGGTGCAAACAACACACTAAAACGTATAACAATAAGAACTATACCCTACAATGCCCAATGAACAATACACAAGATTACAAAAACAAAAAAATAAAAAACATCCCTCAAAATTAATAAATTTTAAATGTTAATCTTTTTCGTTTCTTTTAAAATGGAGCAATTTTTATATTTTATTTTAATTCTTTTTAATTACTTTCCATTTTTGAATGTTTTTTTCTTTTAGCTTTGGGTTAACACGACAAAAAGCTAAAGAAAATCTTGTTTCTGTGATAACTTTTTAATGGAGTAAAATTTTGAAAATCCAAAACTTTTTTTTGAATAAACAGAAACTCTTCAACAAAATAGCTTCCTTTAATTTTAAATTGTCTTTTTAAATCTTTCATGCTAAGAACCAATTTCCAAAAAAAGTTTTAGGGTTAGATTTTGTTTGATCTTAAATAACTTATTAAAGCAATCATTTTAATAATTTTTTTTTATATTTTATATTTTTTCACACACTGAAAATTAAAAACTTTTTTAAATTGAAGATATTTAGTTTGCCCAATAACTGTCTGTTTTTGCGCACTGTTTAGTTTGTTTTGTCAGGTTTGTGGTACTTTTGTTTGGTTTGTGGTACTTTTACTCTAGATAGTTTACAGTTTATAGCTATTGAGTTTTCATTAAGCAATACCATCAAGTGGGGTAATTTTTTATCCAGGGTAACTTTAATTATTTTTGTGAAGTTAATTTTTCAGTATTATCTTTGTAGTATTATTTTACTATCTTTTGTATTTTTCAGTGTCTTTGTTTTTAAAATAAATTAACACTAATCAAAGGTTTACTAAGATTTTTAAAAATCGATTTAAAAGGTAAAAAAACAGGCAAAAATTGTTAAAAAATGAAAAAAGTAAAAAATGTTTTTTAAAAACCTATATATACTACATACCTACCTATACGTAATATGAGAACCTAAAAAAAGAAGAATGGGAGTATTGTTTATATTTGAAAACTGTGTTAGCAACCCTCCAATGTTATTGAAATGAATTTGCTAAAAACATCTAAAATGTTTAAAATTATATATGAGACATTGCACATTAGAATGAAAGGTAAACATAGAAAACAAGTCAGACATCTAGTTTCACTCTCTTCTGATTGCTTGATTTTTGAAGACAATAAACGTTATTTGTGATTAGAAAATGCTTGCTGATGAATCAGATATTCAAACATTAGTGATAGACATTTGTAAACATAACATTATCTGATTGCTCCAGTGTTAAAGACAGACAGTTTAAGAACAATTTACTAGGGTTTAATTAGATGCATAGTTTCATCAAACAACATAAGCTAATGAAAGCCATTACTTATAATATAAAACCCTCACATGCAGAGGTTTGTGGTCAAACTGTGAATGCTTACTTCAATAAATTAGAGAAGACATTAGAAGACATTGAACCCTGTAACATAGCTATGACAAGATTAATCATTTATATGCAGACAAAGACTTAAAAGATTCAAGTGCAAAACTCACCACTCAAAGAATTGTGTAAGCATCATGTATTGTGGAAATGCTCTTGGAGTATTCATATCTTCTATGCTGACATAGTGTCTCCAAATGTTTATCAAGAATGGATCAGAGGTGGCCTAGAAGGAATTTGCTATGACAACACAAAGTCAGGCTTGTTCGATTCAAGAACCATCAAATGCTGATTCCTGAAAATATTTCTTTCTCAAATGGCTAAACATCATGAACCAAATTGTCATCATTGTCATCTTATTTATTTCTTCTAGTTATTGAGGTTCTTTAACCGAACAATATTCATTTAACCTATTTGGTGCTCTCATCAATGGATATTGCAGTTTTTGGGTCCATTAAGAAAAAATGGTGGAGAATCCTGGAACATTGACACAATAAAAATTTCATTAAAGGTACAATACCAAAGACATTTTCACATTTTCCAGGGGGTTTGAAGTTGTATCAAAGACTGAAAGAGCAAAACTTGATTTCTATTTTTTTGAAACAAAGAAACAAAAGATTCATAAGAAAAAAGAAAACAAGCACAAAGTAGTGGCACTGGTTTTTAAAGTTTTAAAAAACAACCAGCGAGTAAATTCTTTAAATTTACTGAAAGCAATATGGATGAAGATCGCGAAATAATAATTAAAGCAAAGATAATATATTTTGCTGTGGAGAGAATTAAAGATCAAGATAAAAAAGAGATTAATATTCATTCACATAAGAGAGGTCATTTGGTATATTCAAACCAAAAACGGCAGCATTTTAATAAAATTTTATCAAAACTTTTTCAAAAAATAACCAAAAACCATCAAAGTAACCCCATTTGATGGTAATCATTGTCATGCTAAATAAGCAAGGATGTTTTTTTGTGTTTTATATTATTTGATGTGGTAGTTTTTTGGTTGTTTAATCTTTCTATTTATTAGATTTTCTGTGCTATTATATGTTGCTAGTACTTTGGCTTTTGGGTAATATAAAGTAGAAAGCAAAAATTTTTCTATGTTTCTTTTGATGTATCTAGTGATGTAACATTATAATGAACTGTAAAAGTATTAGCAGATTTAACATTTAATTTTAACAGTAATGTTGCAAGTATTGAAAATGTTATTTAAAATTATTTTTAAAAAATATATATGTATTATTGTTATTATAATTATTGTTTATAAAGAAGTTATTGATAAATTTTCTTGATAGATTAATGTTGTTAATTTTTTTGTTTAATCTGCATTGATAAAAAAATTTGGGAAACTTTCTTTTTACTTATTTTTATATTTTATTAAGTTTCTTATTGTTAATAGTAGTTGTAGTAATTTTTTTTTGTTTGTTTAGCGGGGTAGTTCTTTGTTTCAAAAAATGATGGGAGCATTACGGACATCTCAATCACTTGTTTCAGAAAAATCTAAATCTCATCTGGATAGTTTATCCAAAAGAAAACGATCACAGAGTAACACTTCATTTGATCCGAGTAAATTAAAGTATGTTTTTGTCTCAATGTTGTTGCTTTTATTTTTTGTTTTTTTTTATCTTGTGCCACTTTACCTAATTTTTTTTTTGTATTGTTTTGGTTTATTCATAACCTTTTTCATAAATTATTAAATTTTTAGTTAAGGTATTAGGTAAATTTAAAAAATGACTAAAATATCTGGCCGGTTTTTTGCAACTAAATATTATTTTCATGGTCACTAATTGAGTGCGATTGCATCTGCTTCCCAACCAAGCCTGAGTAAAACAAATGTGTAGAATCTACACTTTGAGATCTTTTCATTGATACCAAACACATTCCCATATGTTGAATAACAACATAAACCTTTCATATATATATATATATATATATATATATATATATATATATATATATATATATATATATATATATATATATATATATATATATATATATATATATATATATATATATATATATATATATATATATATAGAAATCAATGCGTTAAACTCTATTTACATCAACAGTAAAAATTTCAAGGACCTTGCTGGACCATTAAATATTATTTAAATTTTATAAAATTTTGCAAGTGATATCATGGGATCATAAAGAAATTTTTAGGAGGGTGAGACTTCACATTTTCAACAAAAAAAATTTTCCTCAATGTTTTGGGACAACCTAATACATATATTTATATATATATATATATATATATATATATATATATATATATATATATATATATATATATATATATATATATATATATATATATATATATATATATATATATATATATATATATATATATATATAAGCGGTAGTGGTGTAGTGGTAAGAGCGCTCGCTTTGTAAGCGAGAGGTTCGGAGTTCGACTCCCACCACGTCCCTGGAAGTACCGCGCTCAACTTAATTTCTCCGCGCAGCAGCTTTGCTTGTCAAGGTTTGTGTTTCGGAGTTAAAGAGTTGAGAGAGGGTTGTACCACGATTTACAACAACAACAAAAAAATGAGTAGCCTCCTCGACTGCAGTGGCCCCCTCGGGCCTTGGGGAGGTGAATAATTTTTAAATATACATATATATATGTATACATATATATATGTAATATACATATATATAAATATATATATATATATATATATATATATATATATATATACAGGGCCTATTCTAGGGAAAAAATTATGGTGGCGGTACCCCCTCGTTCTGACAAACTTTAGCAGAAAATAGGTGGTTTTTTTTGCGAAAATAACTTTCAGCGAAAGTTATTTTCGCAAAAAAACGAAAATAATTTTCAGCTTTATAAATGCCTAGGAAGCCCTGAACAACTGCAACAAAATTGCTCTAAGCCGCTCTCTTCATCCTGTTCAACAGCTTTGTAAAATCCTCATTTTATGATCTTCTTGATCCGTGATCCGACGAATATACCAGCCCTGACCTTATCCTTGGATAGCTTTGGAAAAAGATCTTTGAGTTATTGAAACACTGATGACTCCTTGTCAAGAGCAGTAATAAATTGCTTAATGAGGTCTAACTTGATGTGCAGTGGTGACATAAACACTTTATGAGGTTTTTCAGGGGTTCCAATTCCACATTGCTCTTTTCAACAGAAAACTCAGTCCATTGTGGTCAGTCCTTTGTGCCATAATGTGCCTTAGTTGCATGGTTGTTCCAGAGACAGAGGAAACAAGGAAATTTTGTGAAACTTTCTTGAAGACCTATGAGGAATGATACCATTTTGAAATCTCCAATGATCTCCCATCCATAGTCATCATACTTTAATCATACATTTTGATACTGGTGTAGTTCTCTTTGAGATGCATGAGTGAGTCATCGGGAGAAATGGGTAGTTTTTTCCATTGTGAAGCAACACAGCTTTGAGGCTTTCAACTGTCTATAAATAGGCGCTATTCAATAGGATTGATTACATGTGATACCTTTAGCCTAAAATAGACCGGCAACATTGTTGCAGAAGCACACGCTGATTGAAGAAGTTGGAGGATCCTTAATACTGCTTTCTCTGATCCCTGACTTGTACACTACCATCAACCAAGTTCCACTGTTTGAGCCTGGATATCAGAAGCTCAGCATTTGATTTAGTAAGCTCAAAATCCCTAATTAAATTGTTCATGTCTTTCTAGTTAGGGAAGTACAACTTTTTATCCCCAATATCTTCTGCGGAATCGTAGTCCATATCTCCAGTATCTGCCTCTCTATCTGAGTTTCTAGCTGCTGTCTCCTGAAGATGGTCAATGCTTGTTGGAACAGGTAGATTGGGCCTATGTGGTACTGGGGCAATGGAAGAAGGTATATCTTGATAAACGATCTGAAAGGTATTTTTGCTAGTGCGACAATTTTTGAGTTTACCATGCAGAAGCAGCAGTCGCTTGAGTGGTTTGTAAAAATCAATGTAAAAATGTGCTGTCTGATGGGAAGTTCAAGTATTCACACTTTACTAAACTTAGTAATCTATTCTTAAACATCCAAATCAATAATCCAGCAAGTTACACAAGTGTTTTGAAGACATTTTTAATTTTGATAACTAACTTTATTATTATTATTATAATATTTATTTAAAATCATATTTAAAACTTCACAGTTAAACCCTTTAACTGGTTTGTTAAACTTTTTATTTTAGTAAAATTTTACATTTATTTTCAAGAAACTCTGAAATTCTAAATATGTAACCATATAATAATAGTCTGCATATTTAAAGTTTTAAAACAAATAATAATAATAATAAATGCTCTTATTATTTGCTTTAAAATTTTAAATATTTAAACATTTTTAAAAATTACAAATGTTTTAATTATGTTTAGTGATAATCCAATCGTTCCTCTTCGGATGCGATCTGTAAGCACAGCTGGATTCTGTCGATCATCTTCTGATTTTCCTTTTAATTCTTATGGAACTAGTAAACAAAGTGTTTCTATGCAAAAATCTCTTCCAATGCTTGAAGTTAAGCTCTCATCAAATGGAATGTTAAACGATGTTAGTAAAGCAACTGTTTTTTTTTTTTATTGTTAATAACTTCTCAATAAGATTTGTTGCTTTTATTGTCTCTTTGTTGTCCATTATATATACATCTGTATATGCATGAATATATGTATGTATTATTACATATATATGTATGTATATATGTATATATATATATATATATATATATATATATATATATATATATATATATATATATATATATATATATATATATATATATATATATATATATATATATATATGTATATATATATATTTTTATTTATATATTTATATATATATATATATATATATATATATATATATATACATATATACATATATACATATATACATATATACATATATACATATATACATATATACATATATACATATATACATATATACATATATACATATATATATATATATATATATATATATATATATATATATATATATATATATATATATATATATATATATATATATATATATATATATTATATATATATATATATATATATATATATATATATATATATAGATATATATAGATATATATATAGATATATAGATATATATAGATATATAGATATATATATATATATATATATATATATATATATATATATATATATATATATATATATATATATATATATATATATATATATATATATATATAATAACATTTGAAGAACTTGATGAAAAATCAATGAGGTTTTAAGCGGAAAAAATGAAAATTCGTTAATTCAGATTCTATTTTTTTAGAGTTATAATTTTATTTTGCGAAATATAACAAAATAAAAATCTGCGCGTGTGTGTTATGTAAAAACTAAAATCGATTGTAAATTTTTATTTCAGTTTCAAGAATTCAACCGTTCTAGACGAAATTCCCCTAATAAGTTAAAAAAGACTGACTGCCGGCGCATTTCTCGAGCCTTGATTCAAAATATTGGTGGCGCGTTTCTTGAGACAAACGAAAAATCAGAGGATAAGCGATCTTCACATTCATGTGGTGATAACTTGCATGTATTTGACAATCATCACTCTAAAGAAGAACTATCAAACAGTTTTGAAATAGGTAGCCCCCAGAACTCGTCTTCTCAACATGATTGTGTGTGTAACGAGGCTCAAAGTCCAAGTGCTCAAGAACTAACAAATAGTATACTAACAGCTTTGCGTGATCCTGCTAAACCCATATTGTGTTTTTTAAATCCTCAACCACGAGATCATGAAAGGGTATATGCTTTTTTCAAATTTAATTGTTTTTGTTTGTTATTTTACTGTTAACATTTGGTAACAATAAAAAAAACTTAAGCTTTTATAAATTACTGATAAATTTTTTCGGTTTTTTAAGTTGATATTTTTTTTAAAACAGAGCCAAACTGAGTTCGAACAGATTCGATCCGTTCGTACAAGTGAAACGAATATAGAATCGAGACATAATGCGCCTCGTTTTACTGTATCACTACCATTAATAAAATTAGAAATTCCTTATGACGAAGATGATCAGTTTATAGACATTCATACAAATAATCATCGACCCTTATCAAATACAGATTTTAAAGTTTCATCCCACGAAGAAAGCATACCTGATTTAATTCAATCTACGAGACGGCCTTTAAGGACTTTATCGCGCAGTGAACAATCCATTTCACCCTCGGAAGAGTTTGATAATTTTAAACACTCTGAAAACACAAATGAAAATAAAGCAACACGAAAACGACTGCTTAGAAAAACAACTAGTATTCATAGTGACGTTGAAAATCACTCAAGTGATAATAAACTTTTTTGTGAATACAACGAGCAAGTAAATCGACAAATACCGTTGGATCACGGTGTCCAACCTCATTGGATATACAAGATAAATGAAAACGAGGAAGATACATGGTGTTAGTTATATCAGAGTTATAGATAAGGGAAGTTTAACGTTTCCTTATATACAAAAGTGTATTTTTTTTTAATTTTAAGACAACGTAGTTTATTATCATATTTTTACAAGAAATTTAAATTTTTTTAAAATTTTCTTTTAATTAGTTGATTTTAATAGTCACGCTTTTTTTTTAAAGAAACTATTTAGCTTTTAATCTGAAGCGTTTTTAATTTACCGATTGCGATAAGCGATAAAGTTTAGCGATTGAGCTTTAAATGTTTTTTTTAAAAATTGCAGTTTATAAGTTGTTTAATTGGTTTAAAAATTGCAGTTTATAGTTGTTTGATTGGTTTAAAAATTGCAGTTTATAAGTTGTTTGATTTATTTAAAACTTAACTAGATAAGGTGTAGCGGTGTTAGTATTTCTTGAAAAAGTGCATATAGTAAAGCTTACAGTTTTTTAGAGAAGTGTTCTGTGCCTGATTAAGACTTTTCGGAGCCTGAGACTATTCTGAAAGCAGAAGGCCTTTTTACGTGCCACTGTGTAATAGGTGTTTAAAAAAATTGTCCTTCTTAAAATTCTAAGGTTATTAAAAGTCCTGGGCTTAAGCTCCTCTTTTTAATCTAGGCTCCAAATGTTTCAATCTTTACAACCTGTTTTTCTATATATTCTGTTTTTCCTGAGAAAAAAAATACTTAAGCTTGGTCCTGCTTGTATTATACCCGTTCATAATAGATACTGTTAACTGATACTTAATGTAATACATGTTTTCAGTTTTCTAGCGCTCAGATTGTTAACATTAAAAAATGTTATATGTTAAATGTTATTTTTCGTTTCTTTATTATAAATAAGGGGTCGTCCATAAAGTATGTCACGCTATTTTTTTTCAATTTTCGACCACTTCCCCCCACCCCACCCTCTCCTGTCGCATAATTCTGCATCCCCCTAAAAAGTATACCACATATTTCTCTCCCCCCCCCCCCCCCTCTAAAAAAAACAACATAGTAATAGCTATTTAACAGAATAAAAAAGACTCAATTTAACTAATTTGGAATACCTTCTTAATTTATTGGGAAAAAATGTCATCATAAAATAAAATAAAAATAATTATTTTATTTGAACCTCATGTTTTTGATGGAAGTGGAACACTTTTGCACTCATTTAGAAAAATTAAAAATATTGCATTTATGCCATAATATAAATTACTACTAACTTAGTTATACTGACCGCTAACTAGCTACTATCCTATTTACACTTTTATTTGATAATAATCTGTGTTTCCTATTGGCTATTTAAAGCATGAGCAAGTCTATTTAACTTAGTTATCATATATTATATATTTATTTGGTTATTTATTCTTGCTTAAATGTAAATGTAACTAAAACTCTAGAGCTTATATAATGTCATAAAAATATGTTCATCATATGTTTTATTTACTTATTTAAACCCTCTATTTAAAATTCCAAACTTAAATTATACGCTCTTAATTTAATGATTTTGCATCGATGCGCTCCAATGTTTTCAGAAACGTGAAGGCAAGCTTTTTAAACTATTTAAAACTGTTTAAAATACGGCGATACGCATAACATGAGTAAAATTTTTGACAATTTGAAACACTTATTTTATTGAATGAGTAAATATGTAGAAAATAAACTGTCATGATAAAAAATATTTGTGACATCACATTTACCAAACCCTACCCCCTCTTCCTTGTCACAAGTTGTCTCCCCTACCCCCCTACCCCTAATCTAGTAGCGTGACATACTTTATGGATGACCCCTAAAGTGTGTATACAAAACAAGAGTGAAATTAAGAAAAACTACTAAAAAAATACTTATCAATTTATATTTAGTAGGCTTTCATAGCATTTTGTTAGACAATCAATTTTTTATAATGACTTGAAACAAAATCAAAACACGTCATCACGTGAATTAATGAGAGGTAAAAGATGCTTTTTTAAACGCTCTTTAACATATTTTTTACCAGGTAGTGTGGACTCAAAAATAAACGGTGATTTTTTGCTATACATGCAAATAGCTTCCAAATTATAGATTTTTTAGCAAACTTATGATGTTTTGAAAACGTTGAATAACACAACTAACAGTGTAGAGATGTATTTACTCTTTTGCTATTGAATTGTAGCTTTTTTTTTGAACTTTTTAAATATTTGTGCATAATTTTTTCTTAAATGTCTTCTTTTTTGTCATTTTTAAAACTTATCTTTAATTAAATGGGAAAACTAAAACATTTGTTTGAAACCACAACATTTCGTGAACAAAGAAAAATTAAAGATATATTGTTACAACCACAAAAAAAAATGACGTATTTATTCTTTCACATTTATTTTGTGTACTCGCTTTAAGAGACCACTTATCTGCTTAAATATCAAAAATATTCTTACTTATGTCTTTGTTTTTGTTTTTTTTACAAATTAAATAATACTTATTAAACTAACAAAATTATTTGTCACCCTATCACGTTGAATAAAACAACTAACGGTGTAGGGGTGTATTTGCTACTCTTTTGCTATTGAATTGTTTTCTTTGGATTTTTCAAATATTTGATGTAATATTTTTCCTAATGCATTTCCAAAATATCAAGCCCGATGTTATGGGTTATGTTTGCAGGAAGTAGCTCCTTATAATTATTCCAGGTCAGGTTAGGTTCAGGATTATCACAATCACCCTGCTACTGGTGTTATGTAACCCAGTACTACCTGCCCCATGCTCTGCTGCCTTTTAGAGAGTGTTTTTTAGGCAAAGACTAGGAGAAACATACTCCAACTTAAAAATATCCTGTCTTGGGGAATTCGGTTGAGTAAAGGCTAGAGATGGTGTCTCGATAAAAATACTCATCTTGGATCTAGCTACGGTCTTGTAGGAGGCCTCCTAGGAAAAGACTTTAGTGGTAAGCAGAATTATTCTGCTAAACTCCTTCATTTTTTAATAGGCTTACGTAGATGTAAACCTGCGTTACATTGTTTTTTGCCTAGGATGATGAATGCTGGATCATCTTGACTCATCTCATAAGTTTTTGCTTGCGCCTACTTGATATTGATTATACAACTCTTCCTGTTATCTCCTATTAAGGGTACAGCTCTAAAACTTACCCTATTAAGGGTACAGCTCTAAAACTTAGTGGTTCTGAGGCTGGTTAGTAGTTAGATTTCCCAAACTCTGTGGTAGCTCTCTGATAGACTGATTCAATTAACAGCTGAAAAAAATCAGAGTATTAACAGTGCTGCGCATGAATGGTGCCCCTGTTAATGTTTTTGGTGCGCATTGTCGAGGCCACATAAGGAGCCCTATATTACAACTTAGGGTCAATTAACAGGACTGAGACAATTGCGTAACTTATTGCTTATGAATGAATCAAGTTCTCTTTAAACTTAAATCATGTCAAAAGTAACCCAAAGTATTAAACATAAAAAACCATTTCCACCACCTAAGTATTTTAATATACCTTTTACTAATATTCGTGGTCTGCAAAGCAACCTTCCATCAGTTGAACCTTACCTCTTGCAAAATTTACCAGACTTGCTCGCTCTTAGTGAGACTAATTTAAATAGTGCTATTCCTTTTTCTGATCTCAGATTTGATGTTTACTATTATTTGATTCGCAAAAACTCTAATAGTTACATTTTTTCATAACGGTCCTTGGACTGATGTCTTTTCCCTCTTAGCTAAAAAATTAGCCTCTTAAGTAACCTCCTGGATTCAGGCAAGAATGGAATCTTTTGTTCCTTCTCGTCAATTCCAAGTCAAGCTTCATTCTACTCCATGGTTTTCACCCTCTTTTGCTGCTGCTATATCTAATCGTAATTTTTTTTTTTTTTTTCTATATTTTTAAAAAGAACAACTCTCTTGAGAACAAACAGGTGCTGTCATATGCTAAACTCTATTATTTTGAGCTCAGTGAATATCGTATCTCAGAAGTTAGGCTCTAGAGACTTTTAGAAAATCTTCAACAGCGTCGTCGACAAGGTTAGGTCAAACATTTCATCTTTCATTCATGGGACTGATCTTATTACCTCTCCTAAGGATAAGGCAGAACTATTTGCAAAGAACCTTTCTTCTAATTCGACTCTCAAATCTCATGGCCATTCTCTTCCTTCCATTCCAATTAAACAGGTTAACCCACTGTTAGATATTCAAATCAATCTTGCTTCCGTTTCTAAATTCCTATCTTTATTTAATTCTTCTACAGCTTGTGGCCCAGACAAAACTCTTGTTATCTTTGAGTCTTTGATAAACAAGTTTCTCACATCCTATTTTTAGTCAAATAACTTACTGTCAGACAATCAATACAGTTTATGATCCTCTTGCTCTGCAGCTGACTTGGTAACTGTTGTGAATAAAAATTTTTATTGTGCATTAGATGGAGGTGGAAAGGCTAGGGCTATTGCTCTTGACATATCTAAGGCTTTCGTCAAAGTTTGGGATGCTGGTCTTCTCCATAAGTTTGTTTCATATAATGTATTAAGGAAAGTTTTTGGAGTTATCAAATTGTTTCTTTCTAACCGCTTTATTAAAGTCATCCTATAGAACACTCTTCTCTAGAACACGTTTTTGTAACCAATCACCATTGTTTAAGTCTGGGTATTCAAAAACTTTTTTCTACAAAAATGTTTCAATGTGTTTGACACATTGACGTTTAGAATCATATCCCCTAACTATCCCACAGACTTTGTTAAATAACAATAGATCAGGAATGCTTTCATTAACTTTATCAAGTAGTAAACAAAATTCGTGTTGATTTAAGCGTCTAATGCAATTCAAACTGAAAATGTTGATTGCAAACACTTTTTTTAAATCATACTCTTTACACCATTTGCAACAGTAGTTATTACTTTATTTGGATCAACTTCATTTTTTATCAAAAATTTTATTATTGAGGAATAAGTCAGCAAACTCTGATGTGCCTATAACCTAATAATATTTATGTAGGGTCCATTCATAAATATTATTAGGTTATCGGCACCACCGCGCTTGTAATGCCTTTCATGTACCAATGATTAGCCACAATTGTTTTACAATCGGCAACACTGTGCCAATTTTGCTGATAATGTTACAAAAAGAAAAATTTACTGAAAACATATCAACTCCAACTTTTAAAAGTAATAAGAAAACTGACGTGAAATTTACCACTTAATGCCAGTTTTCTTAATATTTTTAAAAGTTTAACTTCAAGCACTATCACTACATCTAAGCATTTTAACTTAGATGTAGTGATAGAGTTGGAAACTTATTAAAAATGATTTTAGTGCAACTATATAATTGTAAAAAAAAATATGATTTAAAAAAAAATTAATCGTTTTTTCTACAAATATGCAACGTTTGTTACGGTATAGAGTTAAAAAAAAGATTCAAAAAAGATTTTACAAAACGAAAAATACTTTTGCGGTACTGTCTGTTATTCGTTGCAAAGTAACGCGTTACGAAAAAAATTAATCGACCGCAAACGATTTGTTGTGGTTGATTAGCTGCGCTTTTTTTATTATTATTATTTATTTTATGCTTATTGGCTTTGCGTTAAATAAAAGCCGCTAATATAAGCCTACTGAACGGTTGAAAAATTAAAAAAAAACTAAGATATTTTATTCACAAAGCAACAGATTCTTCCAAAATAGAAATTTTAGGCTTTTCTCATTAAAATTGCAAGGTTAATTAAAATTATTACATATGTTAAACCAAAAAAATTCCAAGAAATTCTTTGAAATTAGATTTATACACAACGTAGGAGGACTCCATATATCAAGGATAATGTCAACAAAACATTTTACCGCTGTGAATGGCGATTTAAAATATGCAATTCTGTGTTAAATAGGTGTTTTATTTCCATTACACCCAGTAAAGAATATTTAGAAATAATAAAAAAGATCATAGTTCTACTTTTTAAAAATGGAAGAAAATACTGCACTAGTAAAGTCGCCAAGGCTTTGTCGTTTAGAAAAAGGACCTAATGGTTATGGTTTTAATTTGCATGGAGAGAAAGGAGTTATAGGTCAATATATAAGTGCTGTGGATGCAGGTAACATAATTTTAATTCATGGATACATACATACAATACAATACATAAAATGCATATATAAAGATAGATAAACAGCCAGATATATAAGAAATAAACACAATTTATGTGGGTATTTATATTTGCATGAATAATAGATTCGTACATAAACATATTAAAGAGATTGTGTATGTTATGTACATTATTGTATGATACGTACAATACAATATTACGTAAAATGAATTTGTCATTTTATAAGTAATATTGTATTGTATGTATTGTTTCTAAAAGTTCACAGTTTAGAGATTTTGAAATTAATGGTCAAGTTCCCAGGTTAAGAGTTGTGTTAAAGTTTGTGACAGAGAAAGTCTAATGACATGCTTTAAAAAAGCTATTGATTCCATCTTTTTAAACAATTCAAAAGTTTTTTTTTTAAAAGTTTCTTAGATTTTTATTGAAAAAGAACTTAATAAACTGAAACATAAGAAACCTTGATAAGCCTTGATAAAAATCCTCTTGCTTTTTAAAAAGAGAACTCTTTAATTATTCCCAGACTTTTAACTCCTATATAATAAATTTCTCTGTAATAACTGTAACAATACCATATAAGTGGTTTACTGCTGAAATGGTTCAGTAAATCTGGACTATTATAAACTGATAACTGCCACATTGTCATGTGTTTATAAATGTGTTGTTGCTTTTTTATATAAAAATTTTTTCAGATGTAACTACATCTGGAGAAAATTCTTTCTACAGATATTATTAGAGTAAAAAGAAAATACAGATGATCTTGTACAAAAGTGTACAGATAATCTTGGACTACTCCACAGATATTGTTGTACAGATGTAGTAATCTTTTACTAGAAAGAACACTAAATGTTGTTAATACTCATAAACATGACTATCTACTATATAATAGATAGGTTAATTACAACTAAATTTTTTATGCCTTGATAAACTGTTACTGTTCAATTTTTTACGGTTTATCTAAAGTTCATTGAGTGGGGACACCATTAAGGCTTATTATTTTAGCATGTATTAGCCCCCGAAAAAAAAAAAAAATCGGAAAATAATGAAAATTGAATAAAATAAAATAAAAAAGTACCTAAATGTATGCATAGTTCATAATATAAATATATAGATATAAATCAACCAAATAGAAAAGTCAGAAAGACAATAAAAATCTTAGTGTTGTTAGAACTAATTTTATTTTAAAATTAAGTAGTAGACTAAGTTGGGGCTGTACCTAGCATTCAAAGACTAGCGGTGTGCTCATCAAATTTTACCAACAAAAATTATGTGTTTGTCAAATTTTACCAAAAAAAAAAATATTTTAATTTTTTTTGTTTGAAAAAAAAGATATCTATTAGGAAATTTCTTCAAAGCCATTAATATATTTGTGTTTTTATTACCTGCAACATTTTAAACAAATATATAATTTTTTGGAAGCAAACTTACAAGTTATATACAAGTTTAAAAAAATGTCATTCAGTACATTATCTTGTGAAGTTTTTACTTCATAGGCAAGCTCTATAATTTCACTGAGAATCTTTTCAAATGTAAACTATATTTATCACTTTTTCTAGTTTCAAGTTGTACTCAGTCAAAAGTTTATATGGATTTTTCTAATTTACATTAATAAAGTTTAAATGAATTGTAAGTTATGAACTCAAATAATAACAAATAAGTCTATAAGTTAATTCAAAGCAGTTTGAATGATATAGTTTAATTTCTACTCAGCTAGTACACATACATTGGCATAATGTTAGAACAGTGTTTCGAGTTGCATTGTAGTTATGATGGAGCAGAAATTTGTGAATTTGTTGGACTATATATTTTAAACTTATTAAGTAAAATAATCAATATTAATGATAGGCCTTTATCGTGATAATGGTTTAATAGTAATGCGCAGAAAATCTGGTCCCTAACTCAATAAAAGTAGTAAATATATTATAAATTTTTTTTTAGTAATGGCTTTCAAATCAAAATAAGCATAAGTTTAAAAATTCAGAAACTCATTTGATGAAAATGAATTCAATTCCTCTAAAGGAATTTTGTAGATGCTCTTCAAAAGAGTGGATTGAATAAAATTTGACCCTTAAAAAAAGAATAAAAATATAAAATGAAAATAAAACTAGAAATGTAATTTAGTTTAACTCCTCATATAGCAAAAATGTTCCCACTAACATTGGGAATATGTATTTTTTAAATTGGCTGATAAACACTTCCTGTCCTAATAAATTACATAAAATTTAAAAAAAAATTTAACAAATAAAGCTAGAAAATTGTAACCAAAAATCAATTGTTTAATCAGTGGAAAATGTTTATCAAAAAACAGAGTATATAAAGGTGTTGTTTTCTCTAAGTATGTACCCGATAAACAATATATTGGCTTAACAGAGGGTGAATGGATAAAATGTTTCACCAACCATAAAACAAACCTTTAAAAATAAAAAATATTCAAAAGACACCATGCTGTCAAAATACATATGGGAATTGAAAGATAAAAGTATTTATGATTTTATATTGAATTGGTATATCCTTGAAACAGCACCTGCATAAATAATAATAGAAAAACTTAAAACAATTACACATGTAAACCAAGAATGTTTATTAAACAAAAAAAATAGAACTTAACTTCTAAATGCAGGCATGAAAATAAATTTCTCATAACAAATATAAAAATAAGTGATCTAAAAAATAATTTTATTAAATTCCCCTTTTGAAAAAATATTTTCAAAAGAAAGCAGAAGTAAATAATTCTGAAGATTTTTTTATAATAATGTCAGCATATTCCACAAATGTGTAAAAATTTACAGTATCTAATACATTTAAGACTTCCTGTAATTTAATTTTTGGTATAAATCTAAGTTTTAATAATTTAAACATTACAATAAAAACATAAACAATAAAAAGACAGAAAAACAACTTGCAAAAAAAAAAAAGCCTAACGTTTTTTTTTTTTAATAATTCATTATATTTAATTTTTATTTAATAATTTAGTAATTAATCTGATAAATGAAAAAAAATATTTAAGTGTTAAAATATAACTAATTGTTCTAATAAAACAACAGAATTTAAAAAACTGTTATACATCATATAGTTTTTTTATAAAAACGAATGATCTTAATTATATTACTATAAAAGTTTATTCATTTCTCTTCTTCTTTATGAATTAAAATGTTATTGTATATAAAAATTTCTACAATCGCTTTATTAACAAGTAGGAGAGTGACAAATCATTTTGAAAGACTTTGGTAATTAAACTTCGAATAGTTGTATACTTGTAAAGTTGAGGTAATGGTTTTTCGAAGTTACTCTGCAGTTTTTATCTTTCGCTCAGAATTATTAGTGTGTTTCTACTTAGTGAGCTTTTGTTATTATGTTTTTGTTTTGGTTTTATTTCTCGATTTATATTCAGACTTATTTCTTTTATTCTCCAGTTTTATCAGTTGTATAATCGGATTTTTGTTGAGTTTATTTCAGAAAAAGTCAAACCATAATAAAAATAGCCTCTGCAACCATCACGTTTCTTCATTCAAGTATCTTGGCGTTTGCTTAAAATTTTTTGCAATGAACTTAGCAATTTTGCAAGATCAATTTGAGTATTAACATATTGTCTTATTAAAATAACAGAATAAAATATAATATTTTTTATTGTGCTTCTTTAATTGATTCGTTTTTCTTGTGCTTTGTAAATTAAATCAAAATTTTAAAAATTTAACCGTGATGTCTCTAAGCTATAAAGATATAGTGACAATTATATTGCAATCTTTTTTTAAATAAACTATAAACCAAAGAGTTCTTTGATTTTTAATAACAAGTTAAATATTAGCATATTAAATAAACACATATAAAAGTATACAGGAAAATATGCACTACTTTAAACAACTTTAAAGTATGAAAACTAGTTTATCAATCAACTAAGAAAAATGTGTGGTTATACAAAAAAGAAATTTTGTCACAAAATTTTTTATTATCTAACAGTTCTTATTGTATAAGTTTACAAATTTCCAAAGAATACTGAAAATCCGGACTATTATGTTAAAATCATTTGCAACACACACATATTTTCCCTGCTTTTTTACATAATAATTATTTATCTTTTAACATAACATATAATAATACAGAGCAGTTATAGCTGTTCGAAATAACTTTTTTGATTTCAATTTTCATTATTACATCAGAATATTCAAAAATTATTTTTTATATAATTTTTTTAGCATATCCTGAATGAAATAGTTTCATTTTTTAACTAGTAAAACAAACAGTTTTACAAAATTACATCATTTGAGAAGTTATTAAAAGTTATTAAGAAAGAAGTTATTAACTAAATAAAAACATAAAAATATTTAACTTTATTTTTACCAAAAATTTATATTTTGCACATGCTTTATTTTGCCCTTGTAAACTGATTTGCCCTTAAATATACATAATGGGGGTGTAAGTATACAATATACAAATAAATATACAAATATATAAAATATACCATTACAATAACTATAAAAATATAAAAAATTATATACAAATAAACTTAATGGGGGTGGAGGCAGGTGCAGGCTATAGCCCACTATTCCTGCCAAAGCCTGTATTTATATGTATATATAAATTATATATAAATATAACGGCAAAATCAAAAATGGCTTAAGTCAAAAAACCAACAAACAAAAAGTTCCATTGATTATAGAGACATTAATCATTTTTGTTTTGCTTGTGGTTAAATATTTCAATATTTATGAAAGATTTTATTTAAATTATATAATTTTGCACCTGCAACATTGGGTTGTATATATTAGAGCAATGTTGATCCATATACATTGAATCGATGTTGGGCTATATACATTGGATCAACATTAACTCAAATACATTGAATCAACTTTAGGTTGTATACATTGGATCAGCGTTGGATTTAGATTACAAAAATAATCAACTTTTGCAATGGCTTTACATAAGTTGAGCCAATGTAATTGTGCAAGCTGTTTTTAGTTGCTTTGCTGTTAATCTTTTTAATGATATCACTGCTAAACATATAATGTTTGATCAATGTTGGATTTGCATCAGAATAGCCGATGTTTAGGATGGTTCTACCTTATTTGTAGGAACACATTTTACAAGCATAATCCAAGGGTGTGGAGTCGTAAATAAAAAGTACTGACTCTGATCATTCAAATTTTCAGAGTACAACTCTGAAAAAATATTATGCAATAATTAAAAAAAAAATGTTTTGGCAAGAAAAGTTTTTTGAAAAGTTCTTTTTGTATTTTGCCAAACTTCTTATTTTGAAACACTATTACCAATTTTTTTATGTTAAAAACAAAACAAAAAAAGTTTAGCTATTAACTTCTTGGGCAAACATTAAGCAAACTCATTTATTAATTGAGATTCTTGCTTTTTTGTTAATGATTTTGTTAATGAATGTTGATAAATTATGTATGGTGTATGATATGTTTATAAAGGTGGGTGTATGATAGCTTAAGTGTATGGTTGTTATTGTGTATAGTATATTAGGCTTACTTTAGCTTTATTTTAGCTTTACTTGAATATATGTTTATAAAATAACTTGAGAGTAATTATTGAAACAAGCTAAATTTTAATTAAAAGAATTAGAAATTGAAAAATGTGAAGAAAAAAGTAAATCAATTCAGAAACATAATTTATCATTAGCTAACTTTAAATCAAAATTAAAAAAACACACACACAAAATGTATTTATTATACATATATAAGTTTGATATTATCTTTAGAGTTTTTCATTTTTAGGAAGTCCTGCTGAAAAATCTGGCTTAAGTGTTGGTGATCGAGTTGTTGAAGTAAATGGGAATAATGTTGAGAATTCTTCGCATGCAGATGTAGTTAAAGCAATAAAGGAGTTCCCCAACACCACTTCACTTTTGGTTATTGATCGCATAACAGATAATTACATGAAAATAAAAAAAATTCCAGTTACTGCTGACCTTGCAAAGTATTCAAGTGTTCTTGATATTCCAAGTTCTGAAAATTCTACACCTAATGAAGTTGTAGCAAGTGATACTGAGGTTCAAGAAAAAAAAGATACGGTTGTTGAAAATGAAAAAGAAGAAAAACTTACAGATACTGTTAAGGTTTCGCCAGACATTGAAGGACTTTATGATAGTCCAAACAGTTTTAGTAATGAAAAAAAATCTGAGCCGGTTGAAATTAATGAAAATCCCGCATTGGAACCTCAGACTTTATCAGTGCAGGGGGTTGAAGCTCATGTTGCCTTGGTTCAAAATTCTCAGGCAGATGCGGTTGAATGTGATAAACAACTGGCTGACTCAAAACAAGAGCATGAATCTTGTGCTGACTTATTGACACCAGTAAACCAGCAACATGATTCTGAAAATCTGACTCAAGAACCTGACTGTGTGTCAGTTGTTAATGAACCAAAATCTAAACCAGAAAATGAAGGAGAAAAATCAGATATTCATCTTGAAAACGACGAGAAATTTGAGCACCCTCCAGAAAATGCAATTTCTAATTTTGCCAACGCTTTAGAGACTGCTTCGCCGTCCCAATCACACAAAAATAACGAATTAAAAAAGCCGCTTCTTTCAGTTATTCCTCAACGTAAAAAAGTAAAAGAAACAAAAGACGATTGGAAAGCCAAGCAGGATTTATTTAACAAACTATAAATTTTTTTTTCTTTCATCTTTTTATTTTTGAAAATAAAAGTTAATTTAAATGTTTTTAGAATATCTTGTCAAATTATATTTTTAATTGTTTTTACATTGTTTCATTTATTTTTATGTAATATTGTGCAATAGAGTTTAAATATGTCAAATTTGTAGAGGTTTGTAGCAACATTGGGTTGCTTTTTATTTTATTTTTTACACGGATGGAGCTTGAATGTTTTAAGTCATAGAGATTTTACAACTTGCTGTCTTTTTTTTGGTCATTAATGCAGTACTGTTACAACTCAGTTAAAGGTAAAAACTTACACATTTTTGGAAAATTTTTTGTTAGAATTATTATTGAAAAGCTTTGTTTGCAAAATATAAAAATGAAGTATACGCATTTTCCACATATCGGAATTTCATAAAATATCTTGTGATCTGTAAATATGCAAAACGTATGAAGCGTAACAAAATTAGAAATTTTATAGCAATACCAAGTGTCCTTGTGGAACTTCATAGTATATCTGCGCATCTTCAGATTTTTAATATTATTTGATAACTAAATTATCAATTTCTTTTTATGTTTTATTAGTACGATTCTCTACGTTACATTTATACGGGAAGAGTGACTACTTACTACGTAAAATTTATATCTTGAGTTTTAGTATAATTGAAAAATATGCAATATCATAGACTAATTTGTTATATTTGCTATTAATTACCAACTAGTTTTTTTACGACAAGTTTATTATTAGGAAAGTAGTTTGTAATAATATGATTTAATCTTTATATAAAGCTAGATACACATCGTTTTTATATTTACTACGGTAAGTATGAACTCAATGCGGTAAACAATTATTTAAAGGCAGAAGCTAATTTAAAAATTTGGAGCCCATAAGCTAATGTTTGGATGGCGCCTCCCTAGTCTATGGAGGTTTCCCCGGAATCCAGTGCATTATGATTTTATATGTGCGTGTAATTATGCTATGTAACAAAATTTAAATACTTAAGAATTCTGTGTAGGTTTTACATAATTTCTCTTTAACAATAATTCCACTTGTCGTAAAACAATTATAAACATAATTATTAATGACTAAACCTTCAAAAATGTTTGATTATATGAGTTTGTATCAAAAAACTGCAACATTCAATCATAACTGAATCATAAGTTATTCCTTGCTTTGGTAGCAGCAAAACCATCAATAACGTCATCATAGTTTATATTCTTTACTATTTTGCCTTCCATAGTCAAAAGTGCAAGAGCATTGACTCTTTTTTGAACGATTGTTGACCTAGGATAATTCTTGACTCTCTTTAAGGCAGAAAACAAACTTTCACCCGAGTAGTTGGATATAGATGTGCAAAGAAATATTAAAATAATAATGTCCTCGTTTAGACATATGTTTTGAAGAGAGTTTCATCTTATGATTACGGACAGTTCAAATACAGAAAATGTTTAATTATTGCCTTGATTTTCTAATTCTCGTTTAATATATGGAAGGTATCTCCAAAAATGAATACATTTCTCTAAGATTAAGTTTTCAAGATCATCTGGGTATGTTTCTATTACGTTTGATCCATATCTTGTAATTTCAGAAACTTCCAACTGTGTAAGATCGTTAGAAATTGAAACTTGTTGTTTAGGCACATATACGGTTCATACCTTTTATTTAACTCCATTTTCAATTTGTCAATTATGTAATAATGTTTATTTTGAACTTTTCTTTTTCTTCTATTCACCTTTTGCCTTTGTCAAACTTAAATTTACGTTTTGTCTGCTGTTTTTTATTTTATGAATAAATATTAAGCCCTGTTGCATCCTTTGCTAGCTGTTCATAATGGTCAAAGTTATTTCTTAGTTATTTCAAACTGTCAGCAAATTTAAGTAACAATTTATAAAGTGAAACTACACTACCAGGATTAATATTTTACTTTTTTTTTATTAGTTTTGTTAAAACGCTCTAAAAAATTTCCCAAACGACAACCATTATGACCGGTTCTAGTCTTTTCAGGATTTTCGGGATATCGGTAGCTTCATTTTGTGCGGTTCTCTTTTCATTTTTATCCATGATAACGGATTGGAATGCTGTAATTATTTCTAACCATCCATTCGATAGTGCTTTGCATGCCTCGTGTCGGGCTGACCACCTAGTTTGGAAAAGAGTTTTTACAACATGACTGCCTGACATGAGATGAGTGAGAAATACTTCCCAGTGATGAGTAAAAAGTTGAAACTGTAAAAAAGATTTACATTGCTTGAATTGTACCAAAGAATGTTGATGCATCCCTCACGTTTCCAAACTTCACTTAAATAGTTAATTTCTTCATCTAATTTTGGCTGCAGTTGGCCATCTAATCTAATACTATTATTTTCTCTTGTTATTATAGATGTTAATGCACGTATTATGATCAAATGAGTTTGTGTATTTTTTCAGTCATTAAATCTTACTGTTAAAAATGCTGCTTTTCCTAGAACAAACAATCTGCGTGAATTGTTAAATTCAGTAAGTATGGGTTCAGTTAAAACTAAACCTATACTTACTGAATAGCCCAACCAAGATCAATAGTTCGTTTTATCGTTCTTAATTGTTTGCTAAAGCAATGATCTTGAATAACAACGACCTTGGTTTAAATAACGACGTTTTGAATTAACAAAGTTTGCATCAATATTTTGACAATATTTGTGTTTGGGCACATTCACGTGTGTCACCGTCAATTTTCCATTCTGCTGGGTCAGTGCTAACATTTTAAACTACATTTTTGATATCCAATGACGTACTCGAGGTTTTAGTCTCTATTTCATTCATTTCGTTGCCTTCGTCTAGCCTGACTAGCAAAAGTGTAAAAGTAGGGCAGAATTGGTTTAAAACTTTTGAACTCAGCTTGCATTAAAATGCATAAATGAGTAAAAACTAAAATAAATTACAATAATTCGAATTTTATTTAAAATGTAACTCGAAAATAAAACGCTTTTGGATTTCAAACTCCTAAAAATACATCTGTTGCATTTTTAAGAGTTCAACTTTATAAAAAGTAAAACCTTAATGAGAAAATAGATAGGTCTAGATTAACGCAAGTATTTGCTTAATACATTAATACATCAAGCTAGTTGTAGACAAACGATACGAAGCACTCTGTCTCACCTTCAAATTCTTTTTATCACACAATTTTTTTTTTCCTTTCACTAAAGTAAATGAAAAAGCCTGTAATTTAAAATACTCTGCTAAATTTGAATGGTAACACAGTAACGCGTTTAATTTTTTTTGGCAGCGATCTCAATTCGCTATCATTTTTTAGATAGTAGTTAGTTAGCAATTGAATTACACGGAACGGGCGTGTTCCGTTAGCCCATTAACAGTTAGCTGGACTATCTTGTGCGTGATTGCTCGGAAGATGATGCACTTTGTCAATTATGGTAAATGCAAATACTTTTTTTGATTTGATGCAGTTTACTCTGAAGCACTTTAAAGCAGTCTACACCATATTGTATGAAAAGAACGCATTTGCAACTACGCTACCAAATAGAGTATACGAACGTGTAGCGGAGGTGCGAATTAAGTTGCACTACCACCTATCTCTGAACTTATTTAGTTAATAGTTATTTAACTAATAGTAATTAAAAAAAAAAAAAAAAACAGAACTAATTATCTTCTTCATATGTACTTTGCATGATAAATTAATTTCAATGACTAATTTGTAATTAGATTTTGTTTTATAAATTTTATTTTATTAGTTTCTGCTGCTAAAAATTCAAAGGAGTTTAAGAGGGGTAAAATTTATAAAAGAAATAAGTTTGGTAACAACTATCTATTTAAAAAACTTCTTAAAAGTATCAGAAACCACACAGTACACTTTACATTAAAACCTAAAGTAAGGTGTTTTTAAAAATTTTTTTATAGTTGCTTTAAAATCAAAGAAATCAAAAATATTGAACAAGTTTAAAAAACATTGATAAAAAGATTTGGATAATCAATTTTTGGGATTTTATTGGTATGAGTTTAAGGCAAGTTTATGACAAAGCGCATCAGTGATTATAGATTTTATTATAGGGTTTAAAAACTGACACCCGATATTAGTTTTAAAAACAACCCTATCTACAAGTCTTATGAAAACAAATGATCTCAACAAACCTCAAACAGACCAAATGTTTTAAATATTTTCAAAATGGACTGGTAATCACAATTTTTCACCATAAAGAATGCTTATTAAATTGGTGTCTCATGCGTTCATAAAAACTACAAAATAATGTCTGCAAAAAGAAAATGTCAAGCAAATTAACATCAAGAGATAGAAACCAAAATGTAAAGTTAATATTTTCAACGAATGTAACTGGACAATTCATAACTTCACTTTTTATATTTAATTGTAAAAAAATGGTTAGAATTAGACGTCTGATAAAAGACGTACCCTTAGTTTAGGATAATAGACATATATGGAAACTCAGCTACAAACAACAAAACAAATAAATGAGCCATAAATAATATGTGAGTTGTCAGTAACAAATGTGCCATCATCAAATAACAACATTTTAATAGCATCACTTAACAATACCTTATAAATTCTACTAATAACCCGTACCACCATTATTGCTTCTACAACAATTTACATTATAGCAACCGTTTCTAAAATATAATTAATTTCCGATGCAACTATCAAGTCTTCAACAAACAATGTTTTACATGTTTATTTTCGATTTCTAGCAATTCGAAAAAAAAGTTTTTAGATCAAGAGGAGCTAAAAAAAGTAAAACTCTCAACTTATCTTTTTAGTTAAGAAGTTCATTGTTGAGCACGGAAGTTTCCTAAATTATCAACAAAAAATTTTGTTGTGGATTAGCAGTGGTACACTGCTAATCTATAGGCATATTGAGTGGTTCATAGGAGTTTGGATACTAAGCTAGCAAAGTGGTTAGTGGTTACTAAGTGGACCTTTAATGGTATCCACTATAAGTAGCCCGCCGATAACTCTTCAACATGCGATGTAGTGCCTAATCATCGGCTAGCCACTTTTGGTGGGTGCTGCTAATTATTAAATAAGTATCTTTTGAGAAAAACTACAGTGGACCACTCAAAATGTCTATATAAGTCTACTGAAATTTTGCTACATAATGTTTGCTAGGTTGAATCAATCAAAAAAGTAATAAAACATGATAATAGATTAAAAAAGAAAAGAAAAATATGTTACTGAACCGCAAACATTCTATTGCGGAAAAGTGACTAACCGATAACTAGCTACTATATCACATTTTGGAAATAATCG